GCCCAGCTTCTTAAACTGCAGTGGGTCATGTTCTGTCAAGGGGCTCACATAACTGAATGTGGGCACCATGAAAATAAAGGTTTTGAGTATACGATGACCGAAAAAATGAAGGCGAAATCAAATTTCTAACGGTTCAGAGAGATTTATCACAGACCTCACTCGTATTGCAACCTGCAACATCACTCTGGCCTTGATTCTGAGCTCCCGGTATGTACCTTGTCAGCCATTGTGTTATACACCACACAGACAAACGCTGCCTGTAACACTGCACCCCAGTTTGAGGCTACTGTGTTACAACTGCAATGTTTTTACTACCTATATAAAGTGTTCTGTTTATAGAAACATAATGGCTTAATTAGGGAAAATAAAGACAGTATTTTTCTATGAGCATTCCTCAGCCTGTATCAGACTAGTATATTTGGGGTTTGTGTTGTATTAGAGTGTTCGATTTCAAAAATTAGTGCTTAGGTTGCTGGCCTGAGTTTCTCTCTCTATGTCTCTCTGTCTCTGTCTCTCTCTCTCCACACACACACACTAGTTGAGTGATTTTTGAGTTGGCAATAAGACGGAATTCACTAGAACTTCTGAAATGGCCCTAAGCATACTTCTGCCACTTTGTAATATGTATTTATGTGAAGTGGTGTTCTTGGCACTGACAATTATAAAATCAAAATATCAATCAACTCTGGAAACACTTAAAGATACTCTACATCCTGTGGGATCAAGCCTTCAGCCAAGATTTAATTTCCTATGCAAAAATTAACAAGCATAGAGATCTTGTTAGCATGCAAATTTGTTTTCATCTTTAACAAGTGCTAAAATCACACATATACCAAAGAATTGTTTGTGTCTGAGGCAGGGTCTTACACAATCCAGGCTGGCCTTGAGTTTGCTGTGTAGCCAAGGATGACCTTGAGCCTTTTATTCTTCTGATTCCATCTTCCAAGTATTGGGATTACAGGTGTGTGCAGCCACACCCAGTTTAAGTGCTGGGAGCTGAATCCAGGGCTTTATGTAGGATAGGTAAGCATTCTACTGACTAAACTATATCCCTGGGCACCAAAGTTTTACGATGATAATTCTATGATTACTACCAGTTACTGTTTGGTTCACAAACTCGTTTTAAGTACTGCTGTACTCAGAGTTGTAAGGAGTCTATTTCTGTCCCGCCAGCCAGCTCCCAAATAATGACACAGAGACTTATTATTAATTATGAAAGCTCAACCTTAGCTTAGGCTTCTCCCACTTGCTCTTGTAACTTAAATTAACCCATATTTTTATTAATCTTTTTGCCTTCTCCCATTCTATGTGTCCTGCTCATCCTACATCTTGACTAGCTCCGGTTCCCCTCTCTGCCCGGAAATCCTGCCTCTCTCTCCTGCCCGGAAGTCCCACCTCTCCTGCCTGGCTATTGGCTCTTCAGCTTTTCATTACATCAACCACATCTTCTCACAGGGTCACACGGTGTGTCCCCCCAATGCCAGGGTCATGTAAAAATGTCTCAAGTGAGAAGAGGTGAGAGGTGGAAAAGCTTCAGGAACCCAAGTTAGCAGAGCCAGGGGCTGTGTACCAGATCAGCGTGCGCTACCGCAGTCACACAGGGGCACCCTAACTGAGGTGGTGACAGTGGCCTGCTTTAATGTGGGGCCTCCGTAGTGTTTGCCTTTGGATGGCACAGGAGTGGAAGGGACCAGAAGCGGGAGGTGACTTCCAAGTGTCTCATGTCGGTGACGGTGGAGGCAGCCAGCCATACGGTCACCCTGAAAGAGCATGAACGCAGATGAATTAAGCTTGGAGTTCCCATACAGACACTGCAATGCCCTTGAGATCCCTAACAATGAAGCGGGGGGGGCAGCTTGCTGGTTAAAGACTCAAGTCCAGACACCCGAGAGGACGTGAAAATACAAACAAGAGTTCACAGCATATAGATGGCTTGGAGGCTGATGGGTGGGTGAGTTTCCCCGGGAGAAGAAGGAAGTGGAGGAGTGTTCTACGTCCAAGTCTCAGGCCCAAAGAGATGGACCCTAGGAACAAGTAGTGAGGGGACCCAGGGAGATGACGCTGCGGGCACGCTCCCCCTCCCCTCCCTCTTGAACATTTGGTCATTCTTTCTGCTGTTAACTCAATTTTTTAATGCACCCAGTGGGGGAGGAGTAAGAGGTCAAGCCGTGGGTATCATTTCTTTCCTTTCGCCACGTGGGGTCCAAGGATCAAAATCAAGTGCTCGGGGCTGGTGACAAGGGCTGGTGACAAGTGCCTTTACCTGCTGATCCATCTAATGGGACACGCACCTTCCCCTCTTTGCTCTATTCTCATTTTATCCTTCACTTAGGGTCGTAAGCCTCAACATTTCCCCGGAAATCCTGGACATGATCTCTGTCTGGGGGTTTCTGCTTCTCTTTTCTCTCCTGCTGCTAGAGAGACTGCATCCCCAGCTCAGGTAGCTCTTAGCCCAGGACACCCAGGATGCACTCAAGTGAGTCCAACGCCTCACTCCCATCCAGGGCGTCTTAAACAAGGGGATGGATAACTTCGGAGGATTAATTGTCGGTAATGAAAGCGAATGACGTCATTCCAGATGAGTCTTTCCAGAAAACAGCAGGTCGATAGTGTCTGAGGAGTCCTAGAGATCAATTGTCCTAACAACAGTGATGTAGACTGAATTCGATGCTCCCGTTAGGTGTTGTCTGTTAACCCGTTTCATCATAAGCAAACTTTAGGTTGTGGGAGAGGTGAATTAGACAATCCCTGGTTCTGTAGGTGCAATTAATTTTTCATAGATTAATTTGTCTGCTTCTAGGCAGCATTTGTTTTTTTTTTAAGTCGCAAACTAGGAGTTTAACAGGCATTTATTATTCCCAACATTTTCAGAAAACAAGTAACAGTGAAGCCCGAAACGTGCCCAGAACAGGGCACTCATGAACTGGAAATATCTTCGTCATGTGAGCTGGGTACAGAGTCATCGACTCAGGTTCTACAAACCACACCCCTACCCACAAAGCAGCCTCCCAGGGCCACCTCCAGCCCACCAGGTCCCAGCCTGAACCCACCACCGTGCCTGGAAGAACCTCCTTTCCTGAGGGTCCACCTGTGGGTACGCAGACTGGAAGTCTAGGTAGCATCTTACTAGGCCACGTTCCTTGCTTCCCTCCCCCCTCCTCCCCTCCCCCCACCCCTTTCAAGACAGGCCTTTCTACATCACCCTGGCTGTCCAGGAGGTCACTATGTAGACCAGGCTGGCCTTGAACTCACAGAGATCCGCCTGCCTCTGCCTCCCGAGAGCTGGGATTAAAGGCGTGCGCCACCAACGCCCAGCCTTCTTTGTCCCATCTTTAGCTCCAACTCTCTCTGCACTTGGGCTCAGTTTCACGGCCCATGTCACCCGCAAGCTTTCCTTAGGGCCTCTTAACTAGAACTCTGGTCTCCTCACTCCCTCAGTTCCTCCTCCTCAGCTGTAGCAAATGGCTAGAGCCTCCAGGTGTGTCTGTCCCGTCACTCTCCTTCCACGGCCAGGAATGCAGAGGGAATTTTACGGCAGCTGATACTTGCTGACAACCCACTCACTTGCTGTCTGATGCTGCAATACACCATTGGGTTATGTCCTTGCAAGAAGCCTGTGGCGGTTAATCTTGGTTGTCAACCTGCGTGGGGTCTGGAATCAACTAACATGCAAGGTGCCCCAAAGTCCTGTGGGAGGGGGCGGGGCTTCCTTCATCAGATTACGTGGAACGGGAAGACCCGCCTGAGCAGCTTGGGATCCTCTCTTACTGCTAAGTATTGGCACTTGTTACCTCCTCTCATCACGTCACTCGTTTCCAGGCTAGCTCCCTCAATGGAATGTAGGTTGCCCCATGGCAAGGATCATGTCCAGTGTGAGTGTGTCACCGAGCTCTGGGTGTTAGCTGTGTGTGAACCAGGATCTTAGGAGTCACTCAGCAAGCATTTGTTGAGCGGTGGAAGGAAGGGAGGAATAAAACAGGACCTCAACCACCTCTGCAGACACGGCTGATGTCTGTACTGCCGGGATCTTTTCGCTAGACAGGCGATCCTCAACCCGTGGGTCGCGATCCCTTTGGGGAAGGAGGTCAAATGACATTTTCACCGGAGCTGCGTGTCAAATACCCTGCAGGTCAGATATTTACATTATGATTCATAACGGTAGCAAAATTACAGTTATGAAGTAGCCATGTAAATAATTTTATGGTGGGGAGGGTCACCACAACGTGAGGAATGGTATCATAGGGTGGCAGCTCTAGACTGTCACCATCAACATCCTGAGCCTACGGTGTCAGTCTCAAAGGGGATTATTTGAGGCCATCTGCCACCTGCCAGGAATCCTCTCCAGCTACCTTCAGCCTTGGTCTCCAGAGGGTCCCCCTTTCCAGGCCCCGCTCACGCATTTGAAGGCTGTAGGGTCTCCTCCACCGGAAATACGTTTTAAATCACGACTGCGCTGCCCCGGGTGCTTTTTGCCTATGGTAAAAGAAATCAGAACATCTCCGTGAGCCCTATAGACACTATCCCCAGGAGATGGGTGCTCAGTTGGTGGTTGTACCCGACAGGCAATGCTAAGCTGACTGAAGGTTCGTGGTCTTCAAGACCAATCGAGGCCAGCTTGCACTTACGGGTCTCAAAGGGGGAAAAACAAAAACAAAAACAAACGAACAAACAAAAAAGCAGCCGGGCGGTGGTGGCGCACGCCTTTAATCCCAGCAGAGGCAGGCGGATTTCAGTGAGTTCGAGGCCAGGCTGGACCGACAGCCTCCAAAACAATACAGAGAAACCTTGTCTCGTAAAAACAAAAAAAACAAAAACAAAACAAAAAAACAGTGGCTTTTATCGGACATTTTCTAAAAACTCCGAGACTCAACCAGTTCTGCTCCTGAGAGATCCTTCAGCCTAGCAAGCCAGAGCGCCGGCCACGCCTCCTCCGCAGCCACGCCCCTCCCCGGGTCCCGCCTCTCGAGCCCTGCGCGAGGCCCGGGAGCGCCTCCCGGAACCGCGCGCACGCGCACTTGCATGGGTCGGCTCCCGCGCACGCGCAGTGAGAACTCGCGGCAACTATGGCGGGCCCAGCGCCGGGTACGATTATGGCTGAAGACTACTTCGGGAACGCGCCGGAGTGGGGCGAAGAGGCGGAAGGCGGCCAGGTGAGAGGGCAGGAGGCGTCCCGCCCGGAAGCCGGTTCTCTGCCCCGTCCTCGCGGCGAGCCCGCCCGCGCCGGCCAGACCCGGGTACCGGGGAGGGAGGAGGGAAGGGGGCGTGGACCTGGGGTCACAGCCGGTCTGCTGACCCTTGACTCCCTGACCTCCGACCTCGGGCCCCAGCCCAGCGGGCCGCTCCTACCCCTTTGGGGACCTCAGTTTCCCCCCGCGCGTGGACTCCAAGGGCTCCCGGGCTGGCTTCTCCTGACCCGAGGCTCTGTCTGCCCCAGCGCGTTGCTTTCGGAGAGTCCAGAAAGTTCCCTAGGAAAGAGCCCCACTCATGGTAAATACAGTAGGTTGTGTGGGAGCTGTGCCACAGCTACTTACCCACCGGATTAGGGAAAGCAGTCACGGGTAATGACACATAACAGGGTGGACATAAGCATGTTTCAATAAAGCTTTATTTACAAGAACAGGAAGAGGGCTGAGTTCGGCTGGTTTTCACCAGCTTCCTGGCTGGGCTCCTGCCTCATTGCGTCAGTTGCCTGGAGGTTGTGACCTCCTTCCAGGGATAAGCTTTTCCCCCTTGTACCCTCTCGGTTCCCAGTCTCCGTGCAGTCACTGTCACAGAGCGCCCGCTCTGCTTGCAGCTAGGACAGCTGTGCAGACGGACAGACCCGGGGTCACTCAGCCCTCCGTACCACGTAGTGGTCAGTCTGTGTGGGTTCGGCCTAAGGTTGTGTCCTGCTCCAGCCAGGCCTGCTGATTCGAGGGTTAGTGACCTTGGCTTCCCAAGACTAACTTGCTGGCTCTTGCCCTGAGGATCAGTTTGTCCGTCTTAGTTGGAGAACGCCGGGTAGTGACTGGCTGTTGAGCCGAAGGTCGGTTGTTAGTCTTGACCCTCCCGTGGGTCAGCGTGTGGAGTCCTCACGAGTGTTGGCTGGTGTGGCATCGTGAGCGTCCTTGTTAGAAAGGATACCATGCATAGGGTACCTGATCGGCCACCGTGGGCTGGCTGTACAGTGTGCTTGGTGCAGTTCCTGACCCTTTGAAGCTGCTTCCTGTGGGCCCCCATCCTGAGGTTGTTAGAGAGTCAGATGAAATCACTCTTTTGGGTGGCACTTTGAAAATGGGCCGTGCCAAGCCAGGCGTTGGTGGCGCACGCCTTTAATCCCAGCACTCGGGAGGCAGAGGCAGGTGGATCTCTGTGAGTTCGAGGCCAGCCTAGTCTACAGAGCAAGTTCCAGGACAGCCTCCAAAACAATACGGAGAAATCCTGTCTCGAAAAAACAAAACAAACAAACAAAAAAGAAAGAAAATGGACCGCGTCACACGCCTTTAAGGCGGGGAGTGCAGGGACTGATACTGAGGAGCACCTCTCCTGGCCCTTACCTTTCCCAGCAGCAGGAAGACGACTCCGGGGGAGAGGATGACGCTGAGGTGCAGCAGGAATGTCTGCATAAATTCTCCACCCGGGACTACATCATGGAGCCCTCCATCTTCAACACTCTGAAGAGGTGTGTGGGCGCATGCACCTTCGGGCACTCAGGGAGAGTTTTGTAGTGCAAAGCATGTGACCTTGGAACGGAAGGCTGCTAGGGTCCTTTGGCACCCTCAAGAAGCCCAAGCCTGCCGTGCCTTCCTCCTGCCCTTCTGTCCTCCCTGTCTCCTCTGTGTGCCCTCAACGTAAAGGCCGCCATTTCCTCTTCCCAGGTATTTCCAGGCAGGAGGCTCTCCAGAAAATGTCATCCAGCTCCTGTCTGAGAACTATACAGCCGTGGCGCAGACTGTGAACCTGCTGGCTGAGTGGCTCATCCAGACAGGTGCTTGCCAGGACGACCCTGGCCCGGCCACTCACTCCTCGTGTGTGCGTGTGTGTAAATGTGTGTGGGTGTCCATGTGGGTGTGCATGCATGTGTGTGTCCATGTGTGTGTGTGCATGCATGTGGATGCCCAAGGGGAGAGTCATCTGAGATTCTTTTATTACCTTACTCGCTAAAGAAGGTCTCAGTCAAGCCCAGGGCTTGCTGATGTGGCTAGACTCACTAGCCAGCTTGCTCGGGGACCCCGTCTCTTCCTCCAGAGTGGAAGTACGGGTGCGCCACCATGCCTACCTGGTATCTTTAAACGGGTTGTGGGTATCCCAACCCTGATCCTTGTGTGTGCATGGCGGGTACTTTAAGCACTGAACCGTCTCCCCAGCTTCTCACTCATTCCCCTCCGAGGGGCTTTTGGGTCCCTAAGCAATGATAAGTTCTGAGCATTCTTGGTCTCCACCATCCAAAGGCGGAAGGACTGACTGCTCCCTGTATGCTCAGCTCTGAGCTGAGTCAGTTGCTGGGGTTGCAGGTAGCCCTCAAAAGGAGTTCTCACCAAGCTTTTTCCGCAGCCATAGAATTACAAGGCCACACAGTGTGTGCTCAGTGTTGCCTTTCAAGAGGCCTGTTACAGCCAGCACTAAATGGCAGATAATTTAAGACTGCTCGATGATGGCTTTTAGCTAATGTGATCAAAACAGAGCCTTACTGTAAATCCACTGAATTGGGTACAGTGACGTCACTCAAGTACTGTCCGGAAACCAGCTGCCTCCCCACTGTCAGGGTGACTGGCTCGAAGTGTGGTTCTTGGCTGCACCTGCTCTCTTCACGGGGGCAGAGTGTACACTCCAGGTCCTCACCTGTTGGCTCTGTCCCTCTGTCCTTGATGAATGAGAGTTTGGAGATGTCTCTCTCCGGGCCACACAGGAAGGATAGCCATCTCATGGACTCGTACTGTGTTTGTTTCTTGGGGGGGGGGGGTCTTAGCACTGAGTAGATCCAGAACCCTCTCTAAAGGGTCGGGCACCTTCGCCACTACGGTGGTGGTCAGTAGCGGGTCTGCGACACTGGCCATGCTGTCTCTGTGCATAGTGGGGCAAGTGGGCGGGGCTGCAGGTAAAGCTTCCCGTTTCCACCAGGTGTTGAGCCAGTGCAGGTGCAGGAGACTGTGGAAAACCACCTGAAGAGTTTGCTGATCAAGCACTTTGACCCTCGGAAAGCAGATTCTATTTTCACCGAAGAAGGAGAGGTGAGGGGTGCTGACTTTTGACCTCACACCCCAGGGCCTTTGCTGGCTTCCTCTCTGCATTCTCAGGGGTGAGGTACTTGTGTGGGAGGCTGCCAGTGCCCAGCGCCTCCCATCAGCCCCTGGGTACAGATATGGGGTTAGAAGGCTCCTGGGGGGGTCCTCCAAGAAACGATCACTGCCTGGCGGGAAACCATGGCGGGTCTTGTCCAGGTGTGTATAACTACTGCAGGGGACTGGGGGGTCCAGGCATGGGTCAGCCCTGAGGGCAGGGCAGGAAGGAAGGTTAGGAAACAGGTGAGACTGTTGCAGCTCTCGGGCCTTCCCTCAGGACCTGGAAATGCCCCAAGTGGCATTGTTGTGGGAGTCAGGCAGTGGCAGGGAGCAGCCATGGGAGCCTGGTCATGGCACAGTCCATCACTCACACAAGGGGGCCAAGAGACACATTTTCACGGGCGGAACCGCCTGTGCTATCCCTGCTGCCTTTTCCTTCTTCTGCCAAGGGCACAGGGTTGGTGAGCACGACTTAACTATGTGATGTGCCCAGGGATACATACATGCCCCATGGGACTTTGCGTGTGTCTCCCAGAGAGCACGTTTCCACACCCTTCGGAGAAGTTAGGCCAGTCTTTCAGGAGCTGTGAACAGGCACCTGGGGAGCCTACCATCCAGGCAACTGCATGGCCATAGCCAAGCCCTGCTTCCCCAGAGCTGGAGTCACTGCTCATGCCATGCCACAGACTTCCCATACTCAGGCGGGGCCTCTGTCTCTGGCAGACCCCAGCGTGGCTTGAGCAGATGATCGCACATACCACGTGGAGAGATCTGTTCTATAAGCTGGCTGAAGCCCATCCTGACTGTCTGATGCTCAACTTCACTGTGAAGGTAGGGCGAGTCCTGGAGTCCCGAGAAGAGGATCCGCTCCGCGGTCGTCTTGGGTCCTCCCGGTGGGGTTGCCAGCCTTTACCTTCATCGCCTCACACTGAGCAAGGGAAGCAGGGACTTTGTGTCTGCTCGGGTTGTCACATCGGCTCTTTCAGGGTTGGGCACAGTGGGGTTTAGATTGTGCGTGTGTGCTGAAGGGCCTCAGGCAGCCCAGGCCTCTCTGCTTCTCCAGACACCAGTGAGTCTGGGCGAGCAAACACCTCGATGCTGGCACAGCAGGAAGCACGGGGAAAGCTGGGTCACTTGGCTCACTCACGACAGGCGGTTGACGAGCTAACCACTCTGAAAGTAGGGTCCCCAGATGCTGACCCTGGGCCTTTGGGTTGTATGGCAGCTCATTTCTGATGCGGGGTACCAAGGGGAGATCACCAGCGTGTCCACAGCCTGCCAGCAGTTGGAAGTGTTCTCCAGAGTGCTCCGGACCTCTCTAGCCACCATCTTGGATGGAGGAGAGGAAAACCTTGAGAAAAATCTTCCTGAGTTTGCAGTAAGCCCCTCTGAATCTCAGGTGGAAGGGGGCTGCCCGGGGTCAGGCTTTGAGAGGTTCCCGTCCCCCCCACCCCCTCCCCGTCTCTCCAGGTCAGAGAACCCTAGCCAGAACCCCTTTTGTCTGCATTTAGCGCTGTGACCTGAAATTTGTCTCCCTGCAATATTCTAGAAAATGGTGTGCCATGGGGAGCACACATACCTGTTTGCACAGGCCATGATGTCCGTGCTGGCCCAGGAGGAGCAGGGTGGCTCAGCAGTGCGCAGGGTCGCTCAGGAAGTCCAGCGCTTCGCCCAGGAGAAGTAAGAGACGCTTCTGCTTGCCCGCTCCTCTTTTTGCTCAGACTGTGGTCCCAGGCCACGGCTCAGCCTCCAGCTCCATCTGTTCTAGGTCAGTTCTTACCCGGGAGCTGAGGCTGCGCAGCCTCTGATGCCTCGGCCTCGTACAGTGCTGTGCTGTTGGCTCTTTGCTAGGAAGTGGTGTGTGCGCTTGTGCTGGGAGACCTTGACAGCAGAACAGCCCTGGCCTGGTCTCCAGTGCCCTGCTTCTTCGTGGATCTGAGGCTCTGGTTTTCTGCTGCCAAGTCTTCCGTAATGAGACAGGGTGTGAAAGTCCCTCCTGGAGGTTACAGCTGCATCAGAGTCTTTTGCAGCTCATTGTAGCTGTTGCTCCCAGGGGTCTGTTAGTGGAAAGAGTAAACAGCGGAGCTGTGGGAAATCACAGGGGTCCCGCCAGCTCAGCAGTGGATGTGTGAAAGCGGAAGGGAGGAGAAGGCTGTTAGTGACATGTGTGACTTTCCAACCAGAGGCCACGACGCCAGTCAGATCACCCTGGCTTTGGGCACAGCTGCCTCCTACCCTCGGGCCTGCCAAGCTCTCGGCGCCATGCTGTCCAGGGGAGCACTGAACCCTGCAGACATCACGGTCTTGTTCAAGATGTTCACCAGCATGGACCCGCCTCCTGTGGAACTTGTAAGCCGCCTGTGCTTCCCGAGGCCAGGGGCCTCCGCCAGGCGTCAGGGTGGTTCGGGGAGGCCTCCAGTTGCCCTCATTCTCTAAGACCATGCCTGCGTGCTGGTTCCTGTGGAAATAGTTCTTGTTGTTGGAGACAAGGTGTTATCTCTGGCCCAAGCTGGTCTCAAACTGGGCTGGCCCTCCTGCCCTAGCTTCCCTGAGTGTTTGGGGTACAGGCACGACTGCCCCAGCGAAAGCCCTCCTCCCAACCTTGCTGGCGCTGCTGGAATCGAAGCCAGGGTCTGTTGCATTGTGGGCAAATGTTTCACCACAGGCACACCCTGTGCCACTCAGTTTCCACCCGGTCAGAGCCCTACAGGTGGGTGGGCCAGGGCCGCCCTCCTTCCAGCCCACTCCCCAGTCTGCCTCTCCTTAGATCCGGGTGCCTGCCTTCCTAGACCTGTTCATGCAGTCGCTGTTCAAGCCGGGGGCCAAGATCAACCAGGACCACAAGCACAAGTACATCCACATCCTGGCCTATGCCGCTAGTGTGGTGGAGGCCTGGAAGAAGGTACTCTCGGTGCTCTGAGCCTGAGCCTGGCGGGCCAGTGGCCGCCTCGCTCTGGTACTGTGTGGGGATCTGGGCTGCAAGAACTCTCAAGCCCGCCCAACACTGGAGACGCCTTTAGCATTGTGTGCAAGACACTGAGAGAGCTCAGTGCCTGCAGGAGCTGTGTGGCCCCTTGACACTAGGACTGGCTAGTGGGATAAAACTGAGTTTCCTGAGCCTCCCACACAGCAGCCTGTGCCTCCTGGTTTCTGTGCGCTGTGTGACCATGCAGTTTGAAAGCTGAGTTGACTTTTGGCTCTGCAGACAGGGAAGGGGCCAACCCCGGGGCACCCCACAGCAAGGCCGCATTCCCCTCATCACTCACCAGCTTGTATGGTTTCAGAACAAGCGGGTTAGCATTGGCAAAGATGAGCTGAAGTCCACGTCGAAGGCTGTGGAAACTGTCCACAATCTGTGTTGTAATGAGAACAAAGGGGCCTCGGAGCTGGTAGCCGAGCTGAGCACACTCTATCAGTGCATTAGGTGAGTGTGCCACCCGTTCCCCTCGGTCCCTGTCCCCGTGGTTGCAGTGGGCACTGTCATGTGCAGCAAGTGAGAGCTTGGGTCTCTCTTAAGCACACGTGGGGAACTTGAGCAGCTGTGACAGCGTGGGCGCTTTTAGGTGCTTGTTGGCCAGAGATCTTTTTGGCAGACCCTCACAGAGCAGACAAAGGGCGTCCAGAATTAGAAAACAGACTTAGAGGAGCGGTTCATTGGTAGTACATCTGTTAAGCCAAGGCTCTGAACTAAAGGGACTTATGAACCCGAGCCTCCCACACAGCAGCCTGTGCTGCCTGGTTTCTGCCAGGAGCCACGCTTTGTGTTGATGAAGATTTCCATTGCTGTTGTGGAGGGTTTGAAGGGGCTGAGGATCAAATTCCTTCTGAGAGCAGCTGGTCTCATCAGACCGCTTCCACCAGGAGCTACTCCTGCAGGGCAGGGTGATGGGGGTGTCACTGTGTCCCCAGACTTTGGCCTTGCTTCCAACCCTTTATCGTTCCTTGGCGCATTTCAGCCTCCCCCACCCCACCCCCTACCCCCCCCCACCCTCCCGCTCCTGGTCAAAGGAGGCCGAGTACCTTGTCTGCCTGTAGGTTCCCGGTGGTGGCAATGGGTGTCCTGAAGTGGGTAGATTGGACCGTGTCCGAACCGAGGTACTTCCAGCTGCAGACTGACCACACACCAGTTCACCTGGCCTTGCTGGATGAGGTAAGGGGCAGAAGAGCCACTTTGTGAGGTACATGACGGTCTGTGTCTTGGACCGTTGTTGTCATGTGAGGTTAGGAGATGCTCTCCTCAGAGCTGGCGGTTTGTGTCCCCTGTGAGGTTGTCCTTTCAAGGACCCTGTAGACGTGTCTATCAAGGGTTATCAGAAGGGAGGCCTAAACCTGACAAGTGCTGTCCCCATCAGCAGTAAGCCACCTTGGTTGGCTTGACAATCCTGTACTGTCCCTGTGTGCTGCTAGTAAGCCCAGAGAACCGGCAGGTGCCTCAGTGCCCCCTCGCTGTCCGCAGATCAGCACCTGCCACCAGCTCCTGCACCCCCAGGTTCTGCAGCTGCTCATTAAGCTTTTTGAGACCGAACACTCCCAGCTAGACGTGATGGAGCAGGTGAGCTGTGCCTCGGGGCTTGTTGGGCCTTGGGAGAGTTCCGGCTCTGACCTGCTCCCCTGGCCCTGCTCTTCCACAGCTTGAGTTGAAAAAGACCCTGCTGGACAGGATGGTCCACCTGCTGAGCCGTGGTTATGTGCTGCCTGTGGTCAGTTACATCCGCAAGTGTCTGGAGAAGCTGGACACCGACATCTCCCTCATCCGCTACTTCGTCACTGAGGTAAGTAGCCCGGTGGCTTCAGGGCTTCCTCCGTCCACTAGCCCAGCCCTTCAGGCTTGATGTCATCATCTGTGTGGTTCCCAACTCTGAGATCCATGCTCGCGATAGTCTTGGGGACACTGATGGTTTATTAAATACATCTTCCCTGTGGGTCCTCTGCCATGTCCCCTGCGTTATGTCCTGTGCCTCGGAGTTGGAGGCTGGGGTGTCTCCAGGGAAGCCCCCGAGAGGGTGGGGCCATCTCCCACATCCCGCCCCCTCACTGCCGGGTCGAGCGCTGTGCCCGCCAGCAGGTGCGCTAATGCTGAGGTCTCCCCACTAGGTTTTGGATGTCATCGCCCCACCGTACACCTCAGACTTTGTGCAGCTGTTCCTCCCCATCTTGGAAAACGACAGCATTGCGGGCACCATCAAATCAGAGGGCGAGCACGACCCTGTGACAGAATTCATTGGTAAGGCCCCTAAACATCCTTTCGCCGTGATGGCCCACCCCACGGTTCACGTGTTCTAACCCAGTGGCCATGTGCTCCTGTACAGCGCACTGCAAGTCTAACTTCATCGTGGTGAACTGAGAGCAGCCAGAGCCGAAGCAGAACCTGCTGGGCCCAGTTCAGGACTAGAGGACTGGTTTCAGGAAGCTGCTTGTGAAGAGGCCAAACCAGCCTCCCAGAAGGAAGCAGGGTCTGCTGGGAGGGAGCGGACAGCTCTTCTAAAAGGACTGTGTTTGCAGTGCCCAGGAGAAGCTGCTGTGGTGGACAGCCCCGATTGTTGTGTGAACCCTGCACCACATGTCACATGCAGGAGTCAGGTGTAAGCACCTCTGAGGAGGCACCCAGTAGGCCTCGGGGTAGTGAGGATGAATCACTTCTAGGGTTTATGTGAGTTTTCTACCAGTGACCCAGGTGGTTGGTTGTCTTACTGTTTAAACTTGCCTAGAGTAACGATGGGCTGGGCGGTGTGTGTCCACACGCGCTATTCCCGTGTAAATAAAGTGCACAGACTCAGAGTTTGGAGGAAACCGCATACTTTATTCATCGCTTAGGCAGCCTGGAATTGTTCCCCTCTCCATGGATCCCAGGGCGACATTGGAACTGTATAGCTGTCTTCTCCAGGTGGCCAGAAGCAGCCTCTGGTCCTGAGGGCCATGGGGACATGTGGGTCCTCCTTTAACCATCTCTTCTTGGGATGGCTTCTGCCGTCCACACTCTGGTCCTCATGCAAGCACTGTTTCTAGCTGTCCAGTGTTAATAATCACCCCATCCCTGGCATGGTTTCCAGCATTGCTTCCAGAGACATCTGCTTAAACAATGGGGTCCCCGTATGTGCAGGCATCCTCGATGGCGAGGTTGTAGCTGGCACCTGTGCCTCCTTTGTAGGTGCTGGTCACGATCCTCATCCAGCCCCTCTCACCCTGTGAGGAGCAACAAGTGTGCATCAGTGCCTCAGGACACGCCCTCTGCTCACCACTCTCTTCTGCAGACCCAGGCCCTGCCCTGAGCCACCGTCCTCAGCCCAGCCCCACCTTGCAAAGCCCTGGGGGTCCAGACAAAGCTCGGACTCGGTCCTCCCGGGACTCTGCGGGCAGTTAAATAATGTGAGGACGTGACTGTCAACTGCTGGTACCCACCCCACTTGTGGCCATTCGGTAGGCATGGCTGCGGTTCTTCACGCCCACGCCTTCCACCCGGCCCTCTTTCAGAGTGTCTGGAGTGACTAAGAGGTAATACTGCGCCCTAAAATCTACAACCTGCAGTTTTCCTCCCCTGGACTTCTGACCTGACTCAAAAGTATTTATTCCTGGAAGACAGGAATTCAGACCCCAGAAGCCGCTTCTCGCCTGGTGAGACAGCGGGAGTCAGCCCTCCACTCCACTGCTGGGGAGAGGTATGGACTCTGGTCTGACCTTAAGAAAGGGAATTGTCTTACCCAGGGTTCGCCCCACGAATTGCGGACAATCCAGTACTCAACCCCTTCACTGCTGACGCCCCAGCCGACCACAGAGATGATGTGGTTGATGGAGGTCTGTTCCTGGTGCTCGGCGTAGATGCCTCCAGTGTAGTTATCCATCTTCTCCGTCACCATTATCCCGCAGCTGAGAAAAGCCATCGGTCATCAGTGCCAGAAGCGCATCGGTACTTGTGGTGGCACTTGGGTTACAGTCGTGAGTCCTGCTGTGGGGACCCCACCACCATTCCAGACTCTCCACCTAGCTTACACAAAAGCTCCCTGGGACAGACTGACTAACAGCTTCTGAGAAAGCCAACGTCTTTACAGGCAAAGATGATTGCGTGGTACTCAAGCTAGGGGTCAGACTGGCCGAGTGGGAAGGGCGAGCACAGTTGCACACGTGCGCACGATACCACAGGGCCTCGCTATCCATCTGAGGGGACCTCTTGCTCACCTGATGGGACCATTGGCGTATATCTCTGCCATCATCTTCTCCCTACCCGACAGGGAGCCGTAGTCACCTACTCTCCAACGGGTGTAATTCTGGATGGTGTGGCACACTTTGAATTCGGTGCAGGTCCCACACTGGTTAAACTTGTCACATTCTAGAACACAAGAAGTCAGCATGACACGTCTCCTCATTAACCCCCTAATGGAGCCCGCCCCGTCCTCCCCACTTCTCTGACTTAGTCGGCCATTCATCAGCTGATGGCGGAAACCATCGGGCTCTCAGGTGCAGAGGCCTGATGCAAAGCCTCCCCCCAGGCCGTGGCAGAGCAGAAGGACACGATTTGGTTAGTAAGAACGTAGTAGGCACTCTAAAGCTGCCCTTCTCATCTGAAAACGAGCGTAATCAAACTTAAAATGTAACCAGAAGATTCCACTGCTGGCTATGTGAGTACACAGGCCAATGTACTCGATTTAAAGAAATGCACCCTCTTGTTACTTGGCTTGAGGAATATCAGAATTCAGTTTACAGGGATAGCCAAAGCAATCCTAAAGAGTAAGAGCACTGCTTTTGAGGTGCCTCAGTACCTGACCTCAAATTACACCTCAGAGCTATAGCGACAAAGACAGGAGCTGGCATAGAAACGGACAGACAGAAAGACAGGACCTGGAAATAACTGACAAAGCTATGCCCCTTAACTCAAGACAAAGGAGGCAAACACATTGGAAAAAAAAGCCTTTTCAACAAGTGATGCTAAGAAAACTAGATATCCACTTTAGAAAAACAAAAATTAGATTCATACCTTTCATCCTTTACAAAAATCAATTCACATTGGATCAAAGACTTTAAAACCTGAGACACAAAGTTCTAGACAAAAATATAGGGGATGCCCCTCAAGGTGCTAGGGTAGGATAGACCTTCCTGAATAAAACAATAGCACAGAAATTAGCACCAAATAGCAGTTGAGGCCACCGGAAAATAAGACACTTCTGTGCAGAGAAGGAAACAGCCGAGCACACAGCCCACGCAACCGGTGTGTGCCGCCTTGACTCCCAGCACTTGGGAGACAGAGGCAGGTGCGTCTCTGTGGGCTTGAGGCCTGATCCACACAGTAAGTTCCAGAACAGCCAAGGCTACATAGTGAGACCCTGTCTCAAAGATGGGGGTGGGGGGGAAGAACTCAACAAAGCTAGTCGGCAAGCCATCGGGGAAATGCAAATTAAAACCACTCTGAGAAACTACCTCACCCTTGTAAGAATGGCTATCGTCAAGAAATCTGACCGCAAATGCTGGAGAGGATTTTTGGAGAAAAAGGAAGCTTTATTCACTGCTTGTGGGGGTGCAAATTAATACAGCCACTATGGAAATCAGCTTGGAGATCCCTCAAAACTTAAAAATAGAATGACCATATGGGCCAGCTGTTTCACCCCTGCACATAAACCCCGAGAACTCCACACCCTACCACAGACATACTTGCACATCCAAGCTTATGGCTGCTTTATTCATTGCAACGAAGTACTGAAATCAAACTAGTTGTCCATCAACAGATGCGTGGGTAATGAAAACCGGGCACACTTAAAACTTACTAGGAATACTACTCCAGAGAAAAATGAGATCACAAAATTCGCAGAACGAATGAATGGACTTAGCATTTATAATATGAAGCAAAGGGACCCAAACTCAGAAAGAAAAAAAAAAAACCCTGTTCTCCTTCCTTCGTATGCAGATCCCAGCCCAAATAAATACGTGCACACGCGTGTAACGTGGAAAGAACAATTGGAAAAGGGCAAAATGCTTGCTGATGACATCACACCTACAAGATACTTCTGTAAGCCCTTTGAATGTCCTTCCAAGGAATCACACATTTGCTTTTCTTTTTAGTTTTTCAAGACAGAATTTCTCTGTGAGACCAGGCTGGCCTCAAACTCACAGAGATCTACCTGCCTCTGCTTCCCGAGTGCTGGGATTAAAGGCGTTTGCTGCCACCGCCACAGGGTGGAATCACACATTTTTAATATAAAATGTGTCCTTGGTGGGGAGTGTCCACGCAGGATTTCACAAGGGGCCACTGTCTCATTGGGGGATTTAATTGTAAATTATGTTTTTGTATTGAACACTCCTGCAGGGCGTAGCTCTTTTATTTAATGGATACCAACCATGTATTCATTAAACAAGAATTGTAGTTGTCTAAACAACAGAATGTGAAGGTTGCTAAAAGTATGTTGATAATAATCCTGATTCTGAAATTTCTGAGAATGCCTGGAAATAGTCATTTATTGCACCCGAAACTCAAAGAGTAATATGCTGGGAATTTGGAAATACCCAGAAATGATACATTCTAAAATGTATCGTTGTTGCTGAATAAATGTACTTTATCTTTTAAAAATGAAGGAAAATGACTTAGGTCTAAGGGCTGGGGAAATCCGCCAGTAAAGTGCCTACGATTGCAAGCGTGAGACCCTGAGTTCGGACACTCAGCACCCACGTAAAGGCAGCGTGATGGTGCGTGCCTGTAATCCCAGCCCTGGGCGCTGAAATCAGGGGTCTCTAAAGTCCATTTGCCAGCCAGGCTAGCAAAACGAATGTGCTGTTCTTCCGGTACCTCTCTTTCTATGCTAAACTCAACAAGGACCACAGGCTCCAGCTTTCTGTCATCCCAACCCCAACCCACCAGGTTCAAAGTGACATCAGATGACCCTGGAGCCAGGAACCATCCAGCTCTTCCTGAGGGCTGCTGTCCCCACCCCCACCCTCTTTGGCATCCCAGTCACAGCACGACAGATGAGGGACTCGTGGGTTCGCGGAAGAGGAGACAGGCGTACAGCAGTGTGGGGACACGTGCAGGGCCTACCTTGGTCCTTGGCCTGGTAGTTGTTGCAGGTCTCGTCAGGGATGCCATACTTATGGGCGTACTCCCACACCGGAAGGTCATTGCCTCCCTCGCAGGAGCCAGCGTTGCCACAGTCGATGACGTTCTGCACCGACAGCAGGGTGGAGGGCCACGCGCCTTTCCTCTTGATGTTGATGCGGTCTGCAACGGTCAGCACCCTGGTCAGTACCACCCAAGCTCCCCAAACGCCACAGGGTTCTGCCCCCTGGTCCTTCCATTGGGGAGGCCTCAGCTCAACTCTGGCCCTCCTCGGGCATCTTGATGTCTGTGTGTGTGCCCGCAAGTGTCACAAGGCAAGGCCATATCTGGGGGTCCCAGGAAGCACCTGCTACAGGACAGCAACAAAAACCACCCGTGTGAGGAGGCTGGAGACCAGCTACAGACCATACATCTGGCGTGGGCATAAGGCTGGCGTGGGCATCTCCAGGGAAAAGCACAGCCCATGGAGACTAGCCTTAGCGAGCGCGGCCAGACAGCAGCGCTAAGTACTCATGTGCTGGGCCCACACACTAGGACAGCTAGGATCACAGCATCCGCCAGGGCATGGCTGATCTGTATCCTGAGAAACCATCCTGCTCTTCACTCTCAAGCTATACACACAACACACAGCAGTCACACCCCCCAGGCCTGTCTCCTACGTCTCAACTCTTCCCCCCCCAAGCCAAAGCGTATCTTTGTTTTCCCTCCATCCTGTGGATTTCAGACCTGACTCACCTCCCATACTCTCCTACTTCTGCTCTACAAGACTACCATCTAATAGCACGGAACCTTCTAGAATCACCCATTGAATACCCTGCACGCACATGCTTGATGACTTCGTCTTGTCACCATTTAGGCCCGTTTCTGTGCCCAGAATGTACTTGGTGTGCCAAAGACAAGGAGGCTCCCAGCTGTCCATGGCCCATGGGCCTAACCCTAACCCTATGGTCTCCTTCCCCTAGCTCGGCTCCCTGTAACCCTCCTCCCTCTACATCCCCAGCAACAGGTCACCTCTCAACGAGGGGCATCCTCAAGCCCACAGACCTGCCTTTCCCAGAGTCCACCCTAGGGTCCCAGGACTCTACGCCTTGCCTGGGTAGCGTGAGGTGGGATCCACCACTGCCTGTATGTCTCTCTTTGGCCTCCCTTGCCAAGGTCCCTGTGTTGACACCACCTATAACCCTCCCCCACTCTCGTCTGACTGCCTCTTTCAGAGGGTCAGCAGACGGGACACTCCAGCCTTCTGGAAGTGCCTGGGGCGTCTCTTCCGCATTCAACCCTAGCAGTGCATTCCCCGAGGCATGCGGAGAGCCCTTTCCTCCTCATCTCTGGTGGCTCCCTTCTGGTGACCTCAGCTAAGACCTGAGCGCAGTGGCTGGATGATAGTTTCAGGCCTGACACCCTCTACATCTGACATGAAGTCTGCTTCCAATCCAACCAACTAACTGGCGCCAGACTCGGCGGGCTTCTTGAGACGGCCCCTCTACACCACCCGTTCTCCCCTTCTCACTTGACTTCCTTTTCTCCAACAGATTTCCGTCCACACCTTCTGGGTGCTGAGCGCTGTGCCAACAGCAGAATCCAGCCCACAAGAGCGAGCTCCGCCCGGTGGACCTGCACCACACCTCGGGCACAGCAGGCCAGACGACGGGTAAGCAGAGTATCACCGCCGGGAGCCGTTCTGGAGAGCGCCCAGGACCTAAGGTGTCATGTACACGGGGCAGCCTGGGAGGTGTCCATCCGGGCTGGTTTGAACGAGAATGGCCCCCACAGCCTCACGCGTATGAATGCACGGTCTCTAGGCTGTCTGGGAAGGGTTAGGAGATGTGGCCTCAGTGGAGGAGGTGTGGGCTTTGGACTGGATGCCTCGGCTACTGCTCCAGCGACGTGCCTGCTGCCACGCCCCCCACCACGACTTCCGAGATGGTAAGCAAGCCCCAATTAAATGCTTTCCAGTTGCCTCAGCCACGGAGTCTCTACACAGCAACAGGACAGTGACTAAGATGCCACCCCAGGAGGGAAGCAAGGACAGGAGGAGAAGAGCAAGTTGCCCATGAAGGCGCTTACACCTCACCTGCTGGTATGAGGACGAGACGGAGGAGGGGCCGGACTGCAGGCTCCTCAGAGAAGGATCCCTGTCACTGGCCTAACCCTGAGATGGTGTCAAATAAAGGAATATGACGGGACTTAGGTTTAGCAGGCACACTCTGGGACTCCCTTGTCCGACAGCAGACCGCAGCCAGGGTGCTGGGAAAGACGACGCCGAGCTCCTTTATGACCAAGTGGACACTGGAGGAGCAGCATAGGACGAGAGTCAGATAGCCCCTAAGCTTTTGCCTGAGTGCCCTCGAGGGAGGGCTGGGCTTGGTGATGGGGAAGATGATAAGGACGACCTGAATGTCTGGGGCTGGAGGGAGCAGGGATGCAGGCCAGAAGGCAGCAGCTGACAGACACAAAAGTGAGTCTGGGGAAAAGGTCACAAGTGGGACCAGGACCTCAGGAGTGTGGGGAGCAGTGAAGCCAAGGAGCTAGGGGAGGCAGAGAGAGGAGACACGGGGGGGGGGGGTGCAGCGAGGGTCTCACTTCACCCCAACAGCAGGAGGCCTGGATACACTGACTCGCGGGTCTCAATAAGGGCAAGGGATAGAGTGGGAGGGAGCGGGCGGAGAGGAGATGGACGCTCCAGATAACCAGCAGGAGCCAGCAGTGGGATGCTGGGAGTGGGCGGGACCGAGGGGCTCTAGGTCACCTATTGGAAGCTAATGGTGGAGGGATGAGATGACCTCCTGTCGTGAAGCCAGGTGACCTTGTAGAGAGAAGCTTGGACGCTTAACCACCCAGAGATGGGGAGAGGCAAACGGGTCTCACTGCTGGCACCGGGCCGGGGCCCTGTGGAAGTCCCCTTTTGGTGTCTGCTCAGAGAAAGAGGAAGCGAGCCCTTGCCTACCACTGATGAAGATGTCAGTGATTTAGGAAGAAAGGATGAAGCAGTGACTGTCCCGGAGACAGTCCAGTCTCGCAACGGGGCAAAGAGGGAGGGCGCAGGGCCCGACAGCCTCCAGCCCATCCCCTTCCCCTTCCCCTCAACGCTCTGCACCCTCCTCACTCACCGACCCTCTGACCTCTCAGCTCCCATGGCCCTCACCCCACCCTGGGCTCTGCCCAGAAGGTCCTGTCACTTCCCCAACCCCAGTGCTTCGGGCCCCACCCCTAAGTGCTCTGGCCCTCCTGTGGGCCTTCCCCTCACACCCTTTCTCCTTGACAAGCACCCGTTGGCCCTTCCCGTGCTGGACCTTCCTCCTGCTCCTCAAGGGTCAGCAGTGCGTCCCAGACCCCAGAGGTGACTCTACAAGGTGCCACAGCTACACGCTCTGGGGTACAGACTGCACCCTCAGTCGTGAAACTCCTCACCCTAAAGAAAGGGTCCAAGCAGATGGGCTGGACCCCAGCTGTCACAACGGAGCCTTCCGACCTGACAGAGGCTTCCTAGTCTGGGAACTAAGGACCTGCTGGCAGGTTAAGCCCTACGGCCATGGGCGCCACCAATTCACAGCCACTAATCCTCAACCCAGGCTCTGCCCACTGCAGGCCAGGCCAGAAAGACAGCAAAGCAAGAGAGAGGACACTGCCTGAGTCGCACTCCCAGACAGGAGCGTCCCTTCCCCACTGGCTTCCAGGGCCACCTCTTCGGATGGCAACGCCAAGTCTACGTGCTACAGACTGGATGGCACTTCCTGGCTGCTGCTCCCTCCACCAAGGAAGGGCACGGCAGCCCTCTGGACGTGTGGGCTTCAGGAGGGTTCTCTCTTCCTCCTGCATCTTCTTCCTGCCCCTGTGGTGGCCAGGGTAAGATGCAAGGGAGAGAAGCTGGCCATTTCAAGCTGGGGACACATGAACCCCAAATACCAGTTGCTACAGAGAAGCAGTTTCACTTCCCCAACCCAAATACAGGCTGTCAGCTCAGGGATTTTTGCAATGCTGCTTCCAGCTCAAAGGCTGAAGTCACAAAGTTCTGGGGGAGGGAGGGTACCCAGGAGCCACTTGTCACGGGGTTCCAGTCCAGGCCTGTCCCACAGAGGCCCTAAATGATCCCGAAGGAGAGACCTCCAGAAGGACATAGTCACCTCACTGTGGCAGAGGGGGAAAAAATCTAGTCTGGATCCTGGTAGAGATTCACCGGCCCGGTAACCCTGGACTGTGGCTACCACGGGTCACCTAGAGGCAGCCAGGACGCTGGAGAGCAGCCACCCACCTGCCATAGCACTGGTGCTACCGTGAGCCCAGCAGGAGCCGCAGTACTGTGGGATGTGCTGGTTCCTGGTGACACTGGCAAAGTTGACACCACTCACGTTTCTCCAATCCCAGCTCTTGGGGAGATCCGACAGGGACAGGTACTCATGCGGCCGAGGGTAAGTCCTGGAAAGAGGTCACCATCGTGGAAATCAACCCTGGAACACCTGGGGCCTCCCCTCCCCCACCAGGGTCACAGACCCAGACAGTCCTCCTGGAGACTTCTTCCTTTCCCCAAAATGTGGAAGTTCCCCAGCTTGGTCCTTCATCACCAAAAGAGCCACCAGCAGAACCCAGCACTACTGGAAGCTGACGGTGACAGAACATCTCTCCAAATACCCCAGCGCTCACCAACTAGGGCCAGAGGGGTAAGGAGTGCCCCATCTAGCAAACACCAAAGTTCCCCGGATGTGAAAATCATCCCAAAAGGAAGGGATGGGATTTCCCAGGCCAAAGGAGGCAAGGGTGGCCCAGAAGGAAGCAAGGTCCCAGGTGGCAGGGGGCCCGCGCCTGGCGCACAAGTGTACCCTCTTTCTCCCCAGACACAGCCCCGCGCCCACCTGCGCCCCAGCTGGGCAAGCTGGTCCCCGCGAAGGGGCCGGTAGCAGGTCCGGCCAGGACGGAAGTAAAGGCTGGCCCGCGCCGCGCCCGCCAGCAACAGCATCAGCAGCACCAGCCGCGGCTGCTGCACCGACCCCGACGACGCCATGCTCCTGCTCGGGGCCTGCTAGGATCCTGGATCACGCGCTGCACCTTCGACCCCTTGACCTGACCTGAGGACCCACGCGCTCCGGCAGCCCCGCCCGGTCCTTTTTAGGAGGCGCCCAAGTTGGACACACCCCGGGGGCGGGGCCTTTCTGCTTCTCCTGCCCCGGCCCCGCCCGGCAGCCCCCAGGGTAGAATTTGCTCCCCAGAGATCAGAACTTGGGGTCGTGCAGGAGGTCATACAAGCAGACCCCGGACCTGCGAGTGTTACCAGCCACTGTGGACTCTCTGGGCACAATTGTCAGATTACTCTCAGAGACCCAGGCACCCCGGAGCAGGGCAGGGCTCTGCAGGCCTCCGTGGCCCACCCAGCCCACGATTCTTCTGTCTGCTTATTCTGGAGAGATAATGCAGTTTTAGGCTAGGCCTCCCCTAGGAACACACAGAGATAGATCCCCCGAGTCAGGAAAAACGAGGTATGCGTCACCCCCTGCGTTGGACCCTAGCCTGGCTTTCTGAAACCCATTCCCCAAAAGATCCAGGCTCTCCTTCACAGACAGATGATCCTTTTGGAACTGCTCTTAGAGGAATTTTCACTTGGCACATGTATCGTGAGCCCCCTGGAGTTCTGGGAAAGGGTCCCTGAACTAGATTCTTCCAAGACAGAGAAAGAAATGGGACCCAGATCCAGGTTTTGTAATTGAATGATTTCCCTTTGTCCAGTGCCCCAGGAGTTAAGCCATCTCCTCCTTTGTAAGACAATCCCTAGTATTTTATCTCTGGGAGTCTCCAGGTGGTGGCTACAGGCTCCCAGTGGGGTTCCTCTGTCTGTGCTTGGTGGGCCCGGCAGTCAGAAAGCCAAATGGCCACCTTGCTGCCTGCCTTGCCAGACCATCCAGAATTCCAGCAGGACTGCTGGGTGCCTCCTGTCAGAGCAGAGCGAGGCCTCACAGGCAAATCTGGGGCTCCGCTTAACAACACAGGAGTCTTGGTCCCTGTCCCTATGGAGTGGTCACTGAGGCAAAGTATGAATACTGGGACCTGTCTGTTGATGTCTTCCTTTCATCCTGGGGAGTCTGGATAACCTTCCTCTTCCTTGAGGTGATGGGCAGGATGGTATGAATGAATGAGGCCCACTCAAGACCATGGGAGAGACACTCCAGTCTGAAGCCCCTAGGGCTGTTCTCCCCAATGGTGGCAGTGCATAGACCTTGGAGCCTGGCCACCCACTCTGGTGGAGGGGGGAGGAAAGGCCACCCCCCACATGGATGTCACATGGGTTCTTTCTTGCCCCCAGGACAGGAGGGGATCCCGGATTCACAGAAAGGGCAGAGTAGTCAGTCTTGGTGACTCTGTGACAATATTCAGGTGAGGCCTACTGAAGTGGGGAGGGATGGTTGCCTGGGAAGAAAACGCAGGCTGGCAGTACAGTTCAGCAGGAGAGTGCATGCTTAGCATAAGTTCAATCCCTGGCACAAATAATGAATGAATGAATGAATGAATTTTTAAAAAATGTAAAGACTTATTTTTAATAGTGTGTGTGTGTGTGTGTGTGTCCGTGTGCATGTGAGTGCCAGGTGCCTTGGAGGTCAGAAGGGTTTGCCTGGCACCCTACACGTGGAGTGACAGGCAGTCAGGAGCCAGCAGATGGGGGCACGGAGAACTCCACACTGGTTCTCTGGAAGGGCAGTCTGTGCTCTCAACCTTGGAGCTAATTAATTAATTAAAGAGAAAGAAAGAAGGAAAGAGGAAGAAAGGAAGAAAGCGAGCTGAAAACACTTTGTTTGTAACAGAGGTTGTCGCCACCCTCCCAGAAGCCAGCCAGGGTCCTGGTGGCTCAAAGTCCACCCAGGTGTTCCAAGGTTTTATTATCAGCTTGGAGTTATCAGGCAGGCAGTCCCGGAACAACTCCCGCTTTGAGTTGACTGACAGACATCACAATGCCGCACATATTCACCTTTAGCTTACCAGCTCTTCTGGTCATGTGATGTCAGCAGCCCTGGGTGCCTGTGAGCACGATCTGGCATTGTCACTGCAAATGCACTGTGCATAGAAGCCATTTAGCTACGAAGGACCTGCCGTGAGGACGCGTGACCCCCGCAGTCACTCAGGGCCCCTAGCTTGGGAGGGTTCACTTTTCCATGGCCCCAGAAAATTGTATAGCAGGTGTGATGACCTTTGTGTCATCTGCCTGGCCTGCAGGAGGTCACAGAGGCTAATGGGCACCCAGAGTCTTGCTGTCTAAGGCCTTGTCACAAGGTAGCATTTTCTCACTAAATGCTCACAGGGGTGGGGGTTTGGGAGCTGCAGTATTACAGGCTAATGAGTTGAAGCCCATTGGAGCTTCCCTAACAGAGAACTCAGGAGGAGATAAGAAGAGAAGTAAGTTAGAGGGGGGTTGGGGTGGGGAGCCCAAGATTTTCAAGCCAAGAAGGAAACGGAGCCGTGACTCACTGTCCTTATGTTATTTCAGCCCCTTGTGATGGGCCAGACTCAGCGCAGCCAAGCTGCCAAGGGCTCTTCACCTCGAGGTTCTGTGTCACTTGGGTGGGAGCAACCGCCCTTCTTCCGTCAAACCCAACTGGCCAGGCTGCTTCATCCTTTTCTAAGTCCTCGGTAGGGGAGCCCCTAGCCCGGCTTTGCTGTTGTGGTTGTTGTTGGTGTGTGTGTGTGTGTGTGTGTGTGTGTGTGTGTGTGTGTGTGTGTGTGTGTGTGTGTGTGTTCTGTTGCAGGGACAGCCACCCATCAATCAAAACTCCAGTTTTGCTGCTGCTGTTCCTAAAGGGCCATGGTCCTAAGGGGCTCTCCGGAGGACACACAAAGGAACGTGGATGCCTGGACCTGGGAGGTGTAGCGAATGCTCTCTTGCCTCTTCGCTGGTCCCATCCCATGCATGCTGGAGGCCAAGTTCATCCCTGTGGCTCTCTCTCTCTCTCTCTCTCTCTCTCTCTCTCTCTCTCTCAGCAGACACACTGGCCTAGCAGCATGGCCTGAAAGGTGTGTCCCCTCTTGACGTCACTTCAGGTGTCAGGGAGGTCATTTTGGGGATAGTGACTCATCTTCTAATCTGGGCCTGAAAGGAAGGAGGGCTCCGGGCAGGGCCTGCACCTTCCTGCCTTGGAGGCCTTCTCACCCACGTGTTCCTTCTAGCAGCCATTTTACGAGCAGTTATGTGCCTCTGCCACCCAGGCTCGGGGCAAAGCCAAGCAGGTGTTCATGAACTGGGCATGTCTCCGGAAACTACTATACCAGCTAGCTTTCTGCCGGAGTGACGACTGGCCGTGCGCCCTGGCTTGTTCTCAGAGGTGACTGAAGCATTCCAGTGTCAGGCGTTGCTGCAACAGGTAGCTTAGTCCTCCTCGGGCTCTCCGTCCTGTGCCCAGTGGAAGAGGGCAGATGATTGGCGTGGGAAGACAGCGCTTCTCCCAGTCAGGTCAGGATTTAGCATGAGGCTCCAGGGTACAGATCTGAATCTGAGTTGGTCTTTTTTTTTTTTTTTTTAATATTCCATAAAGTCTCCTGGCAAACACATGATCCAAGGCCACAGACACAAAAGAGTATTCATTTCTAAAAATAAGGTTGATCCCCCCCTCCCCCGTCCTAATAAAGAACAACATTCGTATTTTCAGATGAAGCCAGGGTCAGCCCACCATCCTAACCCAATGGGAGGGTGGACCAGAGTTCGTGCATGGTGGAGCGGCCTCAAGATCTCCTCTCTCTCCTCCTTCCTCTGTGCGGTATTGTCTGGCTCCCACCCTGGCGAGCTGCAGCCATTTCCTATTATTGCGCATTCCTGAGTGGGGCCACATCCTGGAGACGGCGTTTGTTGTGATGGCTGCTGACAGCGTTCCAGAAGCAGGCTGGTTTTGCAGGGCACCATGCTCTCTCCTCGCCAGCAACAGGCCTCCTCTGTCTCCCCTCAGTTAACGGCCTGTGCTAACTCACACTCATCCAGGCAGAGAAGGCCTTCCGATACGGTGGCTCAGCGCTGTCGTGGACCCTGCCACTGCCCCCAGGACCATCTCGCTTCACATCCTGACCTGATGTTGGCACGCGCTTGCCGTGAAAGTAGCTTCCTGGAGTCGTGCTCATGAGGCTGGTTTCAAGGCCATTATTTCCGGAGCATGCTGCCTGCAGCCGGGCACCTAATATATGGATGGCTGACACATGAACCCACCCCTTGAGGTCTTTCAAAGGGATGCTTCGTCTTTTATGGGATGTAACTCACCTGCCCTCGAAAAGTGGGACACCAGTGCCTGTTGGGTGACACTTAGCTCCGGGTAGGATGGCCACAGGGAGGGGGATCTTGCATTCTGCCCAAGAAAGGCTGAGAAGGTACAAGGGGCTTAGAGACGGCGCCAGACACGTGGGTAACCTTCCCCCCAAATCTAGCTACGCTGAGATACTGTAACCCCAGTGCTGGGCAGACAGAGACAGCTGGATCCCTCAGGCTTGCTGAGCTGGACTAGTTGGCAAGTCCAAGGACAATGAGGGACCTTGTTTCAAAAAAACAAAGTAGATGGTACCTGACCTCCACACACACTCACACCACACACCCCCACAGGGAGGGGGAGGCTGAGAGACCGGGGTCTTTCGCAGTCATTTTCTTACCCTATGATCTGGGATTGAGGGATGAGGCCACCGTCACCGGCTGTTGGGAGGGAGATTGACGCAGGGGGAACAGTGTGTGTGTGTCCAGGCCTCGGTACACGGGAACAGCTGGCAGGGGTCACAAACCAGAGGATACTTGTGGGAGGTCTCTGAAGAGTTGTCAGGCCACCAGACTGCAGGGAAGGCCCCTGCCACCTCCACTGCTAACTGCCGCGCCAGTGCCTGAAGCCACTGCTACCAGGCAGGTCCACTGCTCTTCTCTTCTCCCGGCTTCTCTGTCCCTCTCCACATTCCCCACTCAGAGGACTTTCTGTACCTGTCTCTTTAACGGCAGTGCAAGGGTCAGCTCACCTCACGCGATACCTAGACTTGATTGTCTGCTTGACAGACCTGGGCAGAGGGACCCTCGGTTGAGGAATTGCCACCAACAGATTGGCCTGTGGGCCCTTTTCTTGGTTACTAATGGATATAGACAGGTCCAGCCAGCATGG